AATTACCCCGTATATTTCAAGGTACCCGACTCAGGCGGCGGAGGCCGTCAATGCCCTGCGATGTCAGTGGCCTCTATATGCGTTTCCTCCACTCCCGGTAATACCCAGGTTGATCCAGAAGTTATTGGAGGAACAAGCGGAATTGATATTGGTCGCCCTTTACTGGCCCAGGCGAACGTGGTTCACAGATTTACAGGACCTGTCAAGAGAACAATCTTGGAAAATTCCACCGTCAAAGGTTTCCCTCTCCCAAGGGCCAATACTTCACCCGAACTCACTATGGCTCAGTCTAGCCATATGGAGGTTGAGAGGAGCCGTTTAAAGGCCCAAGAGATTTCAGAGGATGCTATTGCCACCATTCAAGCATCCAGACGGTCCTCAACAAATCGTATATAGGAGGCCACGTGGTCTGCCTTCTGTCGCTGGTGCCAGGGGTCTAACATCGACCCAACTGCCCCATCAATAGGACAATTATTGGCCTTTTTACAGGAGGGGTTGACCAAGGGCCTATCTCCAAATACTTTACACAGAAAGGTGGTGGCTTTAGCCTCGGTGATAGCCTGGGGTGACCTCCGTTCCATAGCGCACTATCCACATGTCCGCAGCTTTCTTAAGGGTGCTTACGACCTCCTGTAATTCACCGCTATCCCACCTGGGACCTCAACAAGGTGTTAACTGCACTTACAACTGGCCAGTTCGAGCCTTTAAGAACCGCTAGTCTTAAATTCCTGACATATAAGGTGGATTTCCTAATTGCAATCACATCAGCAAGGAGGATTTCCTAATTGGCGGCACTGTTAATGAGAAAGGACTGGTGCGTGTTTCATGCGGACAGAGTGATTCTCCTATTGGATCCATCGTTCACTCCTAAAGTAAATTCAGCCTTCCACAGAGCGCAGGAGTTGGTGCTTCCAAATTTTTGTCCGAAACCATCTCATAGACTGGAGCATCAATGGCATCGACTTGACGTTCGAAGGGCCTTAAGCATTTATCTAGACCGCACGGCGGCATTTCGAAAATCTGAGGCTCTATTCCTATCCTTCAACCCGTCCACTTTAGGGCCAAAGGTGTCGTTGAAGACCATCGGTAGATGGTTGAGAGCCACCATAGCTAAAAGTTACGAATGCCAGTCCATCTCAGTTCCTAAAGGCATTACAGCCCACTCAACAAGGAGTGCGGCAACATCAGCAGCACGGGCCACACGGGCTTCCATAGACGAAATTTGCAGAGTGGCAACTTGGGCTTCACCATCTCCCTTTGTCAGAAATTATAAAATTGATGTCTATGCCTCAGCGGACACTTCATTTGGCAGAAGAGTCCTGCAGAGGGTCCACAGAATTTAGGAGTGGATTTCGATCCAGACGGAGTCCCTCCCTAAGGACAGGCCAAACTTTGGTACATCCCACTTCTGGATGCTCTGAACAGCTCATGGGAGAAAGGGCATTGGTACTTACCTGATACGCCCGTTCTCTGTGAGCTGTGAAGAGCATCCAGCCCCACCCATTTCTTTCCATCTGGTGGGGTTCCGTTCCAGTCAGGGATCTAGATTAGGTGATGAGTCCCGGACTTTGGCACTCAGTCTTCGCAAAACTGGGGGACGCTGAGGAGGTGTCCCGTGGAGGAGGAGGAGCGTCCCAGAGTTTTAAGCCCAGCCTTTCCAGAAGAGACTGAAGCACCTCCACTTCTGGATGCTCTTCACAGCTCACAGAGAACGGGCGTATCAGGTAAGTACCAACGCCCTTTTTTGGTAACTGAAAAATATAGCAACATGGATTCATGAAACTATAAGTTGTTTTTTTTGAAGCAAGGAACTGTTGAACAGAGATTCATGAATCCATAAGCCAATCATGCAATATATAGAATTGGCTATACACAGTAACATGCAAGGACACCATACTAGATATATGAACCTCTGACCAAAAGAGTACTCTTAAGTTACCATGGCAGACATAAACTGCATAAAAATTCTAAGTATCTAGATGATAACAGTATGTACACATCAGTGGTGAGATTCAATTTTTTTTACTACCGATTCTGTAGACGTGGCTTGGTGGGCATGGCAGGATACTGTAAAATCTCCAGTCAGAGGTGGTATTTGCCGGTTCTCTGAATTACTCAAAATTTCCACTACTGGTTCTCCAGAACTGGTCAGAACCTGCTGAATACCATCTCTGGTACATGTATATTTATCTTGGATTAATACATTTATTTATTCTGGAAGCTAATATAGGCTATTTCCTTTCAAAGAACCCCTGGGAACTGATTGAGTGCCACCTGGAATAAAATTTATTTGGTAATTATCTATTAGGATGTTTTATTTACCGTATATACTTGAGTATAAGCCGAGTTTTTCAGCACATTTTTTGTGCTGAAAAAAACCCCCTCGGCTTATACTCGAGTCAGATTCCCCTCTGAAAAAAAAATGGTGTGGAGCTCCGGAGCTGGGCAGCCGCTTCCCTGCTTCCGTGTTTCCTTTGCAACTTTTAAGCATGGGGGTAATCGGAAGCAGAAAAGTTCTTGCATGAAGATATATTGTTTTTTTCTTTTTCTAACTGTTTTTAGGAGGGGGGAAAGACCCACCGCCATGTGAGAATGATCAGACACGAAATCTATCCGCCCGAAAATAAGTGTGTGTGTGTGTGGGGGGGATTTTTAACAGAGGGAAGATGTAGGGAGAAGGCAAAAGCGACGGAAGATCCTGCAGGGGAAACTGAGGGGGAGACTCACCCTTGGTCCAGATGAGCCCCCTTCCCCGCCCCTAAGGAAGCAGAGGCAGCCAGCAAGGGCAGGCAAGCCCCACTTCACGGACTCCGTCCGTCCTCGCTCCCACCCACCCAAAGCCACGAAGTCCCCCAATCGCGCAGCCCAGAATCGCCCTCCCCTCAGGGGGCAGCAAGGACGCCCGGTGTTTCCCGAGACAAGAAACTCCGCCGTGCAATGAAAGCGCCCTGGCTCTAGGCTCGCGGGCTCAGAAAACAACGCGAGCCGAGGTCGCTTCGGCTCCGCTCAGCTTCATTTCCTCAGCCTCAGCTGCTTACAGTCCTCTCGGGAGGAGGTGGTGGCGGCGGCTCGTGTTGTTTTCTGAGCTCTAGGCTCTAGGGCTCAGAAAACAACGTGAGCCGAGGTCGCTTCGGCTCCGCTCAGCTTCGTTTCCTCCTCCTCCTCCCGAGCGGACTGAAAGCAGCTGGGGCTGAGGAAACGAAGCTGAGCGGAGCCAAAGCGACCTCGGCTCGCGTTGT